GGTCCGGCTGCGGGCCCGCGGTCTGAGTTCTGGGTTCGGCTGCAGGGCGGCGGTCCGAGTTCCGGGTCCGGCTGCGGGCCCGCGGTCTGAGTTCTGGGTTCGGCTGCAGGGCGGCGGTCCGAGTTCCGGGTCCGGCTGCGGGCCCGCGGTCTGAGTTCTGGGTTCGGCTGCAGGGCGGCGGTCCGAGTTCCGGGTCCGGCTGCGGGCCCGCGGTCTGAGTTCTGGGTTCGGCTGCAGGGCGGCGGTCCGAGTTCCGGGTCCGGCTGCGGGCCCGCGGTCTGAGTTCTGGGTTCGGCTGCAGGGCGGCGGTCCGAGTTCCGGGTCCGGCTGCGGGCCCGCGGTCTGAGTTCTGGGTTCGGCTGCAGGGCGGCGGTCCGAGTTCCGGGTCCGGCTGCGGGCCCGCGGTCTGAGTTCTGGGTTCGGCTGCAGGGCGGCGGTCCGAGTTCCGGGTCCGGCTGCGGGCCCGCGGTCTGAGTTCTGGGTTCGGCTGCAGGGCGGCGGTCCGAGTTCCGGGTCCGGCTGCGGGCCCGCGGTCTGAGTTCTGGGTTCGGCTGCAGGGCGGCGGTCCGAGTTCCGGGTCCGGCTGCGGGCCCGCGGTCTGAGTTCTGGGTTCGGCTGCAGGGCGGCGGTCCGAGTTCCGGGTCCGGCTGCGGGCCCGCGGTCTGAGTTCTGGGTTCGGCTGCAGGGCGGCGGTCCGAGTTCCGGGTCCGGCTGCGGGCCCGCGGTCTGAGTTCTGGGTTCGGCTGCAGGGCGGCGGTCCGAGTTCCGGGTCCGGCTGCGGGCCCGCGGTCTGAGTTCTGGGTTCGGCTGCAGGGCGGCGGTCCGAGTTCCGGGTCCGGCTGCGGGCCCGCGGTCTGAGTTCTGGGTTCGGCTGCAGGGCGGCGGTCCGAGTTCCGGGTCCGGCTGCGGGCCCGCGGTCTGAGTTCTGGGTTCGGCTGCAGGGCNTGGCAGGTGCTCGAGCCACTGAGGCACCGCGGAGGGATACGAGCTGTGAACAGAGACGCGTCCGCGCTTCGTGGCTTAGTTTGTGCCTGTGCGTGTTTCCTCTCAGTGTATAAACTGGACAATTAACGCGGAAATGAAAAGTTGCGGCCGGGCAGGGTGTCTGTGTTCCAGTTAGTGATTTGGCTTTCCGCTAAGGCTCCTGAGCTTGGTGGCTTTTTCCTGGGGCTCCCTAGGTCCCCCGGACTCCTCAGCGAGGCGCCCCTGCCACGTGCGGAGTCGGGGCTGCGTGGCGGCGAAAGCCCAGGTGCGCGGGAGTGGGCGCCGGGGGCGGGGGGAGCTGAG